TTTCAATAGGAGTCATTACTTCTTATTGTTACACTTGACCTTAACTTTTAGAAAATACTCATTTTTTAATGGAACTGGAAAGGTTGAAAAATCAGGCCTCCTGTATTTGTGAACTGTATTCTGAAGCAGATTTTTTTAAAGTGTAGAAAGAAACAAATTGTCCTTGTTGTAAAGGTCTGTGATACCATGTTTCGGCTTTGTGTAAGTAATTGGAATATCCAAAGGGTTATGATGAATCAGTTCTTGATATGCAACTGTCCACTTAATAAGGACAAGTTTTCCAGAATCTCTTATGACTTTTGTCATAAATGGTGTTGGAATTTATCATTTTTTTAAGTAGTTGGAAACCCTTTACTATGATTTTAATCATTCCGGGAAATCCTTGTGAAGCCAGCCGATTAACAAAGCACTTTAGCATCTGTTCAGGTAGTTTTGAAAACCAACTTTTCATCTTCAGGATAAGAACTTCCAGGTTATCTGAAAAAATGCAATAAAATTCTTATAATCTAAGCTTCTTGGCACATAATTTTTCATCAGGGTTTTCTTTAATTACATGAGCACAATACTGTTTTGATTTGATTATTTTCCTTACCAGCCAGCTCCTTGTATAGTTTTTAATTTTATAACTATGTGAAAGAAGTGGCTAAGACTCTGCTGCATACACTTGAACTAATGTTGGGTCAGTATCTTAATGTTACTGCCCTGACCCCAGTGTTATTCAGGGGGAATGGTATTTTTTGTTTTACAGGGATATGTAGCTGTATATTTTACTAATTGTGAAACACTGGAAATTAATGATGCAGACAACTTGATGTGGTCTTTGAACAGCTTTCTGCAGTATTTTTTCTGTTACCGTAATTTGTATTTAATTGCTTGCTCGTCATTGCTTTTTTTCATTGTATTGATAAAATTCGTAACCTTCAGTTTACCCTTTCCATTTGACACTCTTTAATTCAGACTAATGTAATTGTTTTTGTTATCCCTGTAATGTGACTTTTAAGTCATAGTGTACTGCATTTGTTTCTCACTAGTTGGGCACATGCCAATAATATATTCTGTCCATTCCTTAACTGCCATCTCTTTTGCCTGATTTCAACTGAATAATGGCTTTTGCATGGGGAAAAAAAAACGTTTATACTATTAGATGTGTAAAGGGAGGAGAGAGTGAATGTATTGGACTTTGTAAGCCTAAGAGGAATATTTGGATCCCTCCAATAAATAAGGGCTGTGTCATATGTAGCATAATGGTGTGGAAGATACCTGGAAGTCATAGATTTGTAGGTAGGAGGATGTGTCACTCCCTGTACCTAGGCTGAATGTAATATCCTTTATGTTGTATTAATTTGGGGAGGGAAGGAGGCCAATAACTATTTTTATTTGCCTATGATATACTTGGTTTCTAATAAAGTGTCCTAGGCTCTAGTGAGAACTGTCTACTTTCAATTGCCATTTACTTACTTTTTTCATTTGCCTGGTATGTTCTTGGTTAGCTTTTTATAGCTTGTTTCTTTTCCCTCAAAATCTTCAGTACTTTAAATGTGTTCATCTGAGTGTGATCTTAAAAAGCCTGGATCAAGAGTATATCTAATATGCAACCTGCATCAGCTCCTGCTCCGCCTGGATGTCTAGAACTGTTGAAAGATTTTGATGTCTTAAACTCTGGGCTTTGCTTTTGAAATAAGGTTTGGAATATTGTTAATTGCATTAGGAGATGTGTGTATGTTTGTTTTGTAAGCCCTGAACCAGGTTTTGAAAATACTTATATTGTGAAAACAAGATGGGACTCACTGAGCCTCTTCATTGCCAGGAAGAGAATCACTTTCCATCAGCTTCCAGAAAATGTGTATCTGGAGTCGAAGAGATTTAACGGCAAGAATACAGATTTTTTTCATGTAATTGATTTTTAAATGTTAATGTTTGTAAAGCACCTTCAGATCTTTGAGCGATAGGTGCTACTATATACCTTCAGTGTAAATGAATAAAAAAGATATAGGAAGTTTGTGGAAAAAATAATTTTATCTAATGCATAGTCTGTAGTATGTCTTGAAAAGAAGTTAGTGTTTTATATAACACAATTTAAATTAAAAAATGCATATTCCTTCACTTGGTTGCTTGACTTTGGTAAACAAAAAGTTTAATTTTTTTGTAGTTGTGAAGTTGACTCTGCATTGACTATTGCAGTTCTGTAAAGTTCAGTATTCACTGTTACATCTTGGATCCAGTCTGAACCATGCATCACAAGATAAAAAACATCTTTTAGTTGTATCTTTACAATTTTTAATAGTACTGAAAAGATATACAAAATAGTATATAAACAACATGCACACACATATTAGAAAACTTCCTGCCATGTTTCCAATCTCCAAGAAGACTGATTGCTTAGTCCCCTCCTCCTCATTTTTTATTTACTTATAAATCAGTGAATATGTGCTTTTCTTGCCCTCTGGAGGGTAAGCTTATCCTGGCTTGGATAATTTAAATATTTTCTTAATACAAAAATGCATGAAACTTATACAGAAGATTGTTTTTGTATCAACAGAATTTATTATAAATATATTTCAGTTCATCCCTGGGCAACCACTGTTCTCAGTATTTTTCTTTTGAGTTTCTACTCAAAGGATGATGTAGAAAAGACTGGAGACATTGTGATAGTGTGGAAAGAACACAGGCTTTGGACTCTTACCAAGCAATAGTGGCTAATGTGTGTTGAGCATACTTAGCTATGCTGTTCTTTCCCTATTTTGCTGAACATTAACTGTGACTCTGTAATATCTTTTTTCTTTGGATAAGGAAACAGGCTTAGAGAGGATAAGTGTTAACTTGCCCAAGGTAGCACAGAACAGCTGAAAATTAAGTTGAAAGTACTTTCAACTTAAGTAAATTGGTTATTCTAGCTGTATGACCCTGAGCAAATGAAATTTTCTGTTACTTTTTTATATTAATTTTATATATCAAGTAAGAGCTAACACTGTATGTAAGATTAATCTCAGGATTGAAAATAACATAAAGCACTCAGTTACTACTTATAGAGGACTTAACACTTAGCATTTTCCAAATTTATTGTAGTTGGGGAAGTAATAAAACTAATAGGTTATTGCTGACATGGTGTAGCTTTTGTGTCTGTCGTATCTTTTTGTGTCTGTTGAGCTGATTCTGACTCAAGTACCCTTCAGATTTCTGAGGCTGTAAATCTTTACAGGAGGAGGAGACTGCATATTTTTCTCCATGGAGCACCTGATGTATTTGAACTGCTGACTTCAGCAGCCTGACAAGTTATGCATTATGCCACCAGACCTGCTTGTAGCTACTATCAACAAATTCGGAGAAGGACATGTTTTCTGTAGGATGGAGTAAATAGAGTATCTTAAAGAGAAGGTGTGAGTTTAGATTGAACTGATGCACTATCCACATCCTACAGAGGAAAAGCACAATTCAAACCCACAAGGTGCTCAGAAGAAGAAAGAAGAGGCAGTCTCCTCCCATGAATGTTTATGGTCCAATAGAGGGTCACACTGAGTTACAATTTGACAGCAGAGGGTTTTAAACTTTTTTTTCATAAAGGTGGCACAGTGGTTAAGGCACTGAGCTGCTAACAACAGGTGGACAGTTCAGACCTACCTACAGAGAAAGATACTGCTTCCGTAAAGCCTTGGACACGTATGGGACAGTTCTACTCTGTTTTATAGGGCTACTATGAGTTGGAATTGACGACTCTCAGTTTGACTGGGTTAATATTTTATAAGAAAGTTTTAACATCAAAAGATGTATAAAAGACTGTCTAAAAAATAAAGCTTAGTCCTTTACAACACACAAATTTGACTTATTTATAAACCATAATCAAAGTGTCCTTATATTGGCTACTTGTGAGATTTGTCCTTGACCTCTTGTGTCTCTTTTGAGAGCGCTAGGCTCTCATGGATGTCAATGCAAATGCTTCAGAGAATATATTATGTCTTCGAGATCCAAAAATGTTAAGGATCTCCCAAACAAGTACTGGAAAAGTAGAAATGTAGAGAGGTTGAAATGATAAACCTTGCAGGAAGATTTTTTAGGATATTAATAAGTTGTGCCTTGTTTCAAGAATGGTCTTGTTAGAAGTCTTGAGAAAAGTTGACTACTATTTACTGTACTTTGTATGCTTATCTAAGTTTTGCAAGCCTTATAAACAGGAAATGCAGTAAAATTTATAATTGACTGGCACTGGTACGATGATTGTATGCAGTATGAAGGACTGTTAGCACACACCCAGGAATCAGTTCTGTCTAGATCTTTAAATGAAACACTTGCTTTTAGTTAGGACATCAGTTCTGTTTTCAGAGTTGATTTTTCATTCCTGGTAAAATTTTTAAGTCAGCTTCCTTGGAAGCCTGCATTCAAGCTGTGATATTTTCTGTAGAGAGATGGGAATCTAAATCAGGCCTGATTTTTTATGAATTTTTAGATTTCTGCCTTTCTACGGAGGGTAGTTGAAAGCTGTGTGGTGGTTTCATGATACCACATTTCGAGGTGGTTCACAAAGCAGCTGTCTATGGGGAAGTGTTGCTTTCCTTATCTGCCAAAGGCGTCTGGGAAATTACAGTGCTTGGGGTTTTTATTCTAGTGGCGTGGTGCAGTGGTGGTGGCAGCGATGGTGCCAGCAGGTGTGTGGGATGAAGGACACAGCCTGGAAGACCTGCGGGCAGGTGTCTGACGCCAAGTTGCAGTTCTCACTTTCGAGCGCACGGTGGCGCTTAGGTTTCCCTGGGTCCTGTTACCAGTCTCCTAAACCACCTCCGCCGCCACCTGCAGTCTCAACCAAACCTGTGGGTGGGCAGCCCAGAGTATGACAGCATGAGTGTCCAACCGACTCCCAGGCTTTTGTCCACACAGTGATTCTAGCCAATAGGAGAAGAAGAGAGGCGCGAAGGAGGCGGGACCGTGGCAAGCCTGGCAGAGGCGCGAGGCCCTTCTCCCGCCCCTCCGCCTACTCCAGCCTCCGCCGCCTCAGCTTCCCGAGCGAGCCCTGCGGCCGCCCGGAGCAGCTCCCGCGGCGGAGCCGGAGCCGGATGGTCAGAGGAGCCCGACAGCATCAGCAGCCGCGGAGTCGCCTAGTCCCCAGGTGGGGCGGGGGCTATGTGGAGGTCAAGGATGGGGATGGGGCTGTGGGGGGAGAGTGGGCCCGGGGCAGTGGCTTGGGGCCGTGAAGCTTTCGGGGTGCTGAGGCTAAAGGGGCGGGGGATTGCAGGCTGTGCAGAGTCTAGAAGGCGCCGAGGGTCTGGGGCGCGGGCTGGGCAGCGATCGCATTTTCGAGACCACACCAGAGGGGTGCATGAGGCGATCGAGGGGCTCCAAGGGGTGAAGCTGGGAGCACTGGGCCGGGAGGGGCAGGGCGCGGGCGCCCTGCGGAGGGGCGGTGGAATGCGGGGAGCGCGGGGTCTGGAGGGGCGGGGCTCGGGGGGTGCAGTTCATGTGTGGGAGGGGATGGATTTGAGGAGAAGGTAGTCGGAGGGGCTTGCAGGAGTGATAGGGCAGACAATGAATAGGTGGAGGTGGGTGGTTTTGGGGAGCTGTGTAGGGTCTGAGAATAGGGTGGGAGACCGGAAGGAGGCAGAGCAGGTTTGGGGCTAACAGGGGTATTAGGGATACCCCTAAATTGCTTTCTTAGGCTTGCAAATAAGGGAAGTAGAACAGAAGACATTTTTAAGGTAAGGTATGGGTTTAGCCAGGTTATAGTCAGAGATGATAGCACATTTCTTTCTTCATAGGCACAGTAGGTGCCGCACATATGTGCATGTATGTTACTTTTAGTTACTGTCTTGTTTGTTTTATAGACTGAGTGGCACAGTGGATAAACCACCTCGAAAACGGAAAAGCAGGTAAGTTGGCTTCCTAGTTTGCTTCATGTTTTTCTGTTTGTTTGGCTGCACCTGAGCTATACTGCATAATCATACATTCTCGTCAGTCGATGAAGTTTTATTTGGCTCCTTCATAAATTAGTATAATCATATGCAAGACCATTCTTTTGAGGACTCGAAAGTTGTACCTGTTTATCTTTTCCTCCTTTTTATAAAATCTAATCCACCGTTGGAAGGACACAGGAGAGATTATTGAAAACTTCTAGTTTAGTTTTTTTATCCAATAGCTCTGTTTAAAAACCAAATATATGTTGACCATTTGCTCGGTATCAGGTGCTGGTTGATTTATATGAATTTTCACTTGTAATACTCAAAGTATCTTAAGGAGTTATGTATCATCATTACTGTTTTGCAAAAAGAAGGAACTGAGGTAGAGAGGCCAGGTAATAATAGCTCAGGATCACATATCTAGGAAATAGTAGAACCAGGCTTTTAATCCAAGCGAACAGTTTGACTCCAAAGCTAAATTTGTAAGCCTTGTGCTATATTGTCTTTAATAATGTAATATTGCAAATAGATTTGCTGAAGGCTTTTTATTTCTTCGTGGTGTATTTGTTCTGACATTTTTAACCTGGTTCCATATCATGATGACCCATGTCTGGTGGCCTAATGATAAAGAATTGCATTTCCTATCAAAAACAAGTGGATTGAATCCATCAGAAAGAAAGATGGGTGACCTTCTCCAATGCCGAAAACCCGCTGGAGGTCAACAGTGAGTCAGTTCTAACATTATGGCACATAAAAACAACAACGTATGACAAAGTAGAATTGACTTAGGGGGTGTTTGGGATTTTTTTTATTAACACCTTTTGTGTGTGAGTGATTTGAGTGAACGTTTACAAAGCAAATTGGGTTTCCATTCCACCATTCATAATCACTTTGTTTTCTAATGCTAACTATGATATCCATAGTGAAAGAAAAAAAATTGTAATACCCACAATGTAATTACACTCTTTGTATTTTCTCCCTATGATTTTAATTTCCATGAATCTTTTCTGTTTTCCTTCTTCCTGTCTTCTGACTTTTATCATTGGATAGATTCTGTACTTTGATGATTGGTTATTCTAAGGAGTGAATGCCTTCATGGTGATACTGTTTCCTTTAGAAGCCTGTTTATTTTTTGGCTGAAAATTGAGAAACCAGGGTGATTCTGTTTCAGTTTTTGAATGGTTACTAAAACCCATAGCGCACATAGGGGTTTTATAGGTTGAAATTTATATGGGAGCAAATTGCCTGGTTTTCCCCCCACAGAACAACTGGTGAGTTCAAACAGCAGAGCTGCTGGTGGATTTGAACTGCCAAAAGGCCCTTTGAATTAGTAGAGCAACTCCTTATGGACAGGCCACCAGAGAGCTTAAGACATAATGAAATAACAGGATCGTAGGAGTGTAGAACAAACAACTTTAGTTCACAAACTAGTGAATTCTTTTAACTAATGAAGGCCAGCATATTTTCATACCATAGACATTTTTGGTACATTCCCTGTGTCCATTACAATTCTGTGTAATAATTCCTTTTCACAGATGTAGGCAGGCACTGGCCAGAGAGAGTAAATTACAGTAGTAAGGACATGACCAGTAGGACTTTTGTCATGTTGTACATGGTGCATTATTGCTGTTAGTACACACGTTTACAGGAGATGTTGGTGGAAGGTAGAGACGAATGCTGAAGGTAAAAATGCCAACAGATAATATTTCTTTGTCAAACATTAGTCCTGCGGGAGCCCCATGTGGCCATTGCACATGCTGCTGTCATGACCAGGAACTGAAATCTCAATTTTATTTAATTTAAAATGGATTTAAATTTAAGAGAAGACTCTTAAATGTATTTGTTATTGGAAAGCATTAAAGCATGTTGAATACAACTTAAGTATGGGGTTTACTTTTTCATTTGTAAATTTTGTGAAAGCTTAAATACAAATTTAATGTATTTTAAGTGTAAAAACTAGGTTCCAAGTTATTACAAAGAAATGAATGTAAGATGTCTCTTTATTAATTTTTCTATTGATTGCGTAGTGAATTAATATTTTAGACTATTGAATGGCAGAGTGCTGTGCTGGAAACTGAAAGGTTGGCTGTTTGAACCCACTAGTTCTGTGGGGAAAAAAAATGGACAATCAGCTCCCATAAAAATTTCAGCCTGTGAAAACCCTATTACATCCTGCGAATATGGCTCTTAGTCATTGTGTGAAAACTGAAACCAAATCACCCTGGTTTCTCAATTTAATTAAAAATGTAATTAATTTCATTTCTTTTCAATTTTTATAAATGTGACTGCTAGAAAATGTAGGATTATTTATGTGATTTGTATTATGTCTTATTGGATATCACTGGGTTTTTTTAGCTCTTGTCCCATTGCCAGACCCTTGCAATTACCTTTTGACTAGTTTTGCTGCTTAATATCTGATGTATGTAAAGATTTCACTGGTGTAATTCTCCTTCTTAAAGTCCTTCAGTGTTTCTCCATTGTTTCATGAATATAATTTAGATTTCTTAGCCTAATCATAAATTACTATTATTATTTACTCTGACCTGTCTTTCTAGCCAACTCCCATGGTCATAGTAGTTATCAAGAAATGATCTATTAGCTAATTTTAAATGATAAAACTTCTGGTGAATCCTTCAAGAAGAATTAATTGTTGAATGTAACTCTATATTCTATTCCACTTGTATTCCCACATCTTGTTACAGTATTCCTTTGGGGTTTTGCACATGATTTCTACTTCTGTCTGGAACACTTTCTCCATGCTTTTTTTTTTTTTTATTAAATTTTATTAGTTTTAATGAACATTTACAGAGATTTTGGGTTTTCATTCATTCATTGTTGCACTGTTTCCTCCACCTTCATCCCCAGTTCGTTCTTCTTTCCCCCCCCCCCAATGTCTCCATGCTTTTTGACAGCTCCCTACTTTAAGATTTGCCTCATGTGCACTAAATTAGGCTTTTGTTTTCCCTGTTACTGTATTCTATCTTGTTTGCCCCTGTGATAGGTTGTGCTTGTGCATACATGTGTGTAATGGTTTGATTGAATTTGAATACGAGATTTTCAAACTCAAGTTGTGAGAGAATTTGCAAATTCATAAGCTTCTCAGAGCTGCTGGTTCCTTATCTGTATAATGGAAAGAAAATAATTCAAAACTTATTTAATTGTAAAGTGCTTCTTAATACAGTGCCTGGTACATAGAAAGTACTCAGTAAAAAAAGCACCAATGAAGTATCTTTTTATTTCTCACCTTAAAAAAAAAATATATGTAGCACAAGAGATTAGAATGAGAAAATAATGTAATTAAACTAGTGGCAAAGTTAATACATAGACTAGGAAGTAATACACCATTACTAATGGTGGGTTTCGTATTTGAGTTTTCTGGAGCTCTGTTGGTCTAGTGTTAAGGAGTTAGGCTGCAAACCAAAAGGCAGGTGGTTTGAATCCACCAGGTGCTCTGAAGGGAAAAGGAGACACATTCTCCTCTCCTGCAGTTTACAGTCTTTGAAAACTCACTGAAGGGTCATCTCCATTTGGCTCCAACTTGATGACACATAACAACAACAACCAGTTAGAGCAAAACAAAGAAGAAATGAATACTACATTATTAGAGTATGGGCATCTTTAAAAGTAAACATTGTGCCAGAAGAAACACTTTTTTAAAAAAAATTATTTTTTGTGCATGTACTGTCAAATTGGATCTGACTGGTATAGGAGGAGATTGTCCCTCCTTCTCCAGCAGAGCTAGAAGAAACAACTTTTTTTTATTATTATTATTAATTTCAATGAACAGTTACAGAGATTTTGGATTTCCATTCATTCATTGTTACACTTTTCTTCCCACCCACCCTACCCCCAAAGAAACAACTTTTTAAACTGAGGGAATTTTTTGTCCTTTTTACTAGGGACACTTGTGGTTTCTTTGGACAAAATCCCAATGATAAATAAAACAATGAAGTGGGGTTTTTTAAAAAAAAAATTCTTCTAGTGTGTCTTGATCCAACTTGAATAAATGCCAGTGAAAATTCTCCAAAAGGCTGAGGTACACACACCTGTGGGTTAGATATCTATCTATCTCTGTAATGATTTGTCTTGATAGAGAGGCAAAGAGGAATGAAGCTACAGGAAGTCTGTTCAGTGTTTGTCCTCAGCCCCTAGAATGGTACTTGGCACTTGGAAAACTGTTCTTTGAAAGAGTAAGTCCTATCTCTCCATGAATATTATTTCTTAAAACTAAATTTTGATAAACATCAGGCATCAGTGACTTTAAGTTAGTATTTCTTGTCAAGAATTATGACTGCATGTATTAGCATATCTTATAGGGTCAGATCCTAAGTAAATCTGAACCTTGACCTGAATGGATAATTAAGTGTACATCCCTAAAGGGACTTTGTGGACAGGCCCAAGATTTTCCTCAGAAAACAGTTCTGGGATTTCTGGCCAAGTAAACTCTGAAAACTGATTCTAGAGAAAGGTGTTATCTCAGTTATCTACTGTATAGTAGAATCTAGTTACCTAGTATATAACAGATTTTAATTATCAACGACTTGACGGCACATAACATGACAGTGTATATTATATAGTGCAGCTATGTAGGATAGCTATGTATACTACAGAGTATAGCTATATAGTGTAATATGGAACAGAAATACTACATGTGGATGGCTTTAATAAAGAGAAATTTATTCTTTAAAGTTTATGAGGCGAGAAGTCCAGATTCAAAGTACTAACTGTAGACAACCGCTTGTCTTTGTTCTGGAGCAAGGCCTTTGTTTCCTTCAGCATCTGTAGGCAGGGTTCCTTGGAAATCTCCATTTATTTTATCATCCATGGTGTCAGGCCACCTGTGTACAAAAGGACACACTCCGCTCCTAGTGATTGTTTATTGTTGGTACTTAGATCCCTACTCTCTGCTTGCTTTATTCCCCTTAAGTTTCCAGTAAGAAAAAGTGTGACAGGCCACTCTCAAGAGATACTTT